CCGGCCCGCGCCGCCAGCCTGCCAGCCCGGAAGGAGCCGACCGAGCGCCCGCGGCGGCTGACTCAAGCGGTGAGAGAGGCCGGCCCGTTACCACGGGCGCCAGGGGCCCGGGCGACGCTGTGGTTTCGGTGCCCTCGTAGGCGGGCGGCCTAATGAGCCCTCGGCACGCACCTCCCGGGTCCCCCCACCCCGATCGCGGCGGCGGCCCTCGTCCCGCAGGGGCTTGCGCTGCTGCTTTCGATCGGCCTCGCCCCCCGAGGCCTCCGGATCTCAGCTTGGGAACGTGGGCACTGGGGGTCTGTTGGGGTCCGCACGACCGGCCTAGAGTGACAGCAGCCCCCTCGGGGGCGGTGGGGAACCCGGGCGCCCCCTGGCGGCCGTGAAGGCCTAGCGCGTCCTCGCCGCGAGTCGGTGGCCGAGGGCCTGATGCTCCCCTCCTTCCCTCTGCAGGGAATTTGGTGGGTGACTGGCCATGGGGCCCCTGAGTCGTGAAGCCTGGGCCCAGCGCCTGGGGGCTTTCCGAGCCAGCCCATCCGCCTTCCTGGCAGGCGCCGAAGGCGAGGACCTGGGTCGCGACCTGCTGGGTGACCTAAGGAGTGAGAAGCTAAGCGAGCAGACCAAGGTAGGTAGTGCCCGTGCGCCCTGCTGCGGGCCACATGGTTGGGCCGGACCACTGCGGGCCGAACCTCATCTTCACGGGTCCCTCTTACATCCCGCACCGCAGGTTTCCTTGCTGACACTGAGCCTGGAGTACTCGGACAAACTCTGGCCCGATGCACCTGCCGCAGAGGCTGCCGCCACCTCCTTGCTGGACACACTTGTCCTCCTGCCCTCAAAGCCTTCGGCGCTCCGGAGGCTCCTGCTGTTGGCAGCCACCACAGCCCTGGCGTCAGGAGGCGCCCTGGGACCCACTTCGGGAGCTTCCTGCCGGCTCCTGCCCCTTCTGCTTGGTTTAGCTTCAGGCCGGGACGTGGGACGAAGCTTTGGAGCCGCCTCCGAACAGCGCCACCTACAGGCCACGGCGTGTGAGTGCCTGGGAGAACTGGAGCGCTGCAAGCCGGGGCTGCTGGCTGGCTCCCTGGGAGTGCTGCGCAGCCTCCTGGGGCAAATGGGTCCCATCCAGCCTGTCAGCCTGCTGCTGGCCCTTGTCCTGCACAACACCTTGGTGGTACCACCCGGGGCTGGGGCTGGGGCTGGGCTGCAAGGCCTGCTTGTGGCTGGGGTCTCCTCCACTGGGAGTCGTCCCTGGGACTGGACACAGGCTGAAGAGTGGGGTGCCCATCTTCAGCCCCAGGCCCCCCGCTGGTCCACAGCTGAGGAGGAGGCTCGTGGCTTCCCATGGCTCGAGCCCAGCCCTGAGGAGGCCCGAGAGCTGAAGGCTGCAGTGGCCCAGCTCCTGGACACTTCCTACCTGCTCGCTCCTGCGGCTCAGGCTCAGCTTCTGTGGCTGCTGGGCTGGGCCCTTCGGGGTCTTCGGGGACAGCCGCCGGTGCTTTTCAAGCCCCAGCTAGTCCGGCTGCTGGGCACCGCACAGCTGACGCTGTTGCACTCAGTTCTGGCTCTCAAGGCAGCCTTTGGTGAGGCCCTGTTCACTGCTCAGGATGAAGCCCTGCTGCTCCGCAGGCTGGCCTTGGTGGCCCAGCACCCAGCCTTGCCCTCACCCACACACCTCTTTTACCTGCACTGCATCCTGAGCTTCCCAGAGAACTGTCCACTAGGCCCGGAAGGGGAAGAGGCTGCCCCGCTGCTGTTGGGTCCCCAGCTGTGCCGGGGCCTCATGCCCAGTCTCCTGCACGACCCGCTGGTCCTCTTAGCCCGCCTGCATTTGCTGTGCCTGCTCTGTGCTGATGCCGAGGAAGAGGAGAAAGGCCAGGTTCAGAGCCCACAGCGGTACCTGCAGGAGCTTCTGGCTGGCCTGCAGCAGAGGGCAGCCCTAGATGATGGTCCCCAGGCCTTGGCCACTCTCTGTTTCCAGGCCTCATATCTCATTGCCAGCTGCCTAGCTGGGCAACCTACAGTACGGACATCCTTGATCCATGGACTGGCCCAGCTATACCGAGCTCGGCCTTCCCTGGCCCCCCACTTTGTGGATCTCTTAGATCAGGTAAGCCCTGAGCTGAGAGAGCCCCTCAGGGCGGTGCTGCAGCAAGAGGTGGTGGCCAGGCCAGGCCAGAGCCAAGCGCTTCGCTGGCACCTGCGAATGCTGGCGAAGGTGGCAGAGGGGGCTGCCCAGAGCGCCACCCTCAGCTTCCTGCAGGCTGCAGCCATGCACTGCACTGAGTGGGGCCTCCAGCAGGCCCTGCTGCGGGTGTGCCGCGCTCTGCTGCGGACAGGTGGGGGCGAGGGCCTGGCAGACTTGCTGCAGGCACTGGCCAGACGGCTGGAGGATGCTGATGGACGGGACCATGCCCGACTATACTATGTCCTCCTTTCCCACCTGTCAGGCCCCAAGTTGGGGATGGCCCTGGGCCCCTCGCTCGCTGCCCCCGCTCTGGCCTCATCACTGGTGGCTGAGAACCAGGGCTTTACATCAACGCTCATGGTGCAGGAGACTCCAGCTCCAGTTCGGTTGAGTGTGGGGCCTCAGAAGGCCAAAGGCCCGCTCCTGCTGCTGCATCTGCAGGTGGAGGCTCTGGAGGTTCCCGTCTACTCCCTGGAACTGCGCTTCCGTGTGGAAGGACAGCTCTATGAGCCTTTGGAGGCTGTCCACATACCCTGCCTGTGTCCGGGACGGCCCACGCACCCTCTCTGCCTGCCCTTGAAGCCCCGATGCCCAGCCCCTACCCGCCTCCACGTCCAGGCCCTCTATACCACATCTGCCGGCCTCACGTGCCATGCCCACCTGCCACCCGTGTCTGTGAACTTTGGTGACCTCTTCCTGCCTTTCCCCCAGCTCCCCAAGGGCTCCGAGCTGAGTTTCTTTGAGGATCTCTGGAACTCCTGCCTGCCAAAGGGTGTAGAAAGTCGTTTGTGGTGTCCACTTGGGCCACAGGGCCTGGATGCCTTGGTGTCCCGACACCTAGAGCCCTTTGTCGTGGTGGCTCGGCCCCCCCCCACCTACCTCGTAGCTGTCCGCCTGCCCCCTGACTCCATGTTGCTGCTGCGGTTGGAGACCGCTCAGGCGGATGGCGTGCCTGTGGCCCTGAGGACCGACAACTGGGCCGTGCTGCCCCTGGCGGGGGACTACCTCCGTGGCCTTGCAGCCCGCTGAGTAAAACCAGGTGGGGCAGAACTTGTTGCTCTTAGGGGGTGGTCCAAGGGACTGCCAAAGGAGCATATTCTTGTCGCTCCTGCCCCATAAAGTCACATTCACTGACGGCTCTCACTGGCTTGTTTTCTTTTGAACCCTTGTTAGGAGCAGACTTCCTGGGGTTGGGTCTTAAGCCCCAGAAAAGATCCAGACTGACCCCAGTCCTGCAGATCTCCACCATCCTGCTCGGATAGTGTGAACAAGATGCTTCCCATGAGGTTGGCCTTAGCCCAAGATCACTCTGTGACTTCATGTGAAGGCTGGAGCGTGAAGTTGGGCCTCCTCACTCTGCCCCAGCTAAGCTCAGACTACATAGCACAATAAGCTAACAGCCCGGACCATGGAGAGGCGGCTTGGTGACTAGCTGGTCCCTTCCTGGGCAGCGCTGGTTGGAACCAGCTCTAGAGAGGGTGTGCTGGCAAGGTTCTGAGCAGATGGAGGGCCCACGTGATCTGGTTTTCAAAAAGCCCACCTTTTAATGAGAACCCCGAGAAAGTCAGTCTGTGCTTAGGAATCTTCTCAGGTAGAAACTTCTTTTCCAAATGTACAAGACACTAAGGATGTAGATACATTGAAGGCATCACTGTTGCCAGGCACCAGGCTGGGGTTTTCCTTGTTGCAATGCTGCAGGTCTCTCCCCACGGCTGAGGAAATGTCCAGCTGAAGGCCTTAAGTGACTTTCCTGAGGTCACTCAGCTGGGAGGGAGCAGCGTTTTGTCATCCCATGACCAGCCTCCATTGCCACACTCAGCAGAGATCTGCAGGAGCCGCAGTCTCCTGCCCTTTCGGCCCCGAGAAGCCCTCAGAAGGATGTGCTGAAGCAGCCATCAGTCAGTGCTGAGTGGAAGGATGACCTTGGGCCTGGGTTGTTCTGGGGAAAGGGCCCTCGTGGTTGTGTGGGTGTGTTTGATTACCGCCCCCCCCCCCACTGTTTCTTCCAAATCAGTCTAAGAGCGGAAAGAAGGCTTGGGCCAGTTTGTGCCAAAAGGCCAGGTCCAAGTGCAAGCTGTGGCAGGGAATTGTCACTGTCGAGTGACTTCTCATCCTAGATAGGACATCTGCAACAGACCAAAGGAAAATCCCATTCAAGCCCAGCTAATGAGCCAGCGAGTGGATTTGGAGTGACTTATGGGAGGATGAGGGACTTGAAAGCAGCTGCATCACAGGAAAGGCCTGGGTGACCATTCCCGGAAGCTGCCTTGGTGGATGGAGCTTTTACAGGTCTTGGGGACAGCTCCACCTGAGAGTCCCCAAAGCAACTGTTGACCGCTTTTATAATGTGAGGGATGGGCCTCACCAATCCTGTAACTTTCTGAGCTTCCAGATTCTAAGTTTCCTGAGTCTTCTGAGCCTGAAGAAATATTTCAATGAGGAAGAAGCAGTTTCATAGTATTCACCTTGGAAGCCATTGCCAAATCAGGAAGGTGGCCATTGTAGAAACTTCTCCAACTGGTTTGAGTAGAGAAAGGATATAGGTCAGTTCCTTACACAATTCTTAGGAAAGCTAGAGAAGTAGGTTCCACGGAAGCCACCCCTGGAGTTAATCAGTTCCAGGACGCGCGCCGCCGCCCCCCCCCCCTGTCTGCAGCCCAGCTCCTCTTGGTGATCTGGCATGGGGAGTGGGTACTGCCACTCCTCATACCCACTAAGCCAGAGACCTGCTGAGAGAGAGAGAGAGAGAGAGAGAGAGAGAGAGAGAGAGAGAGAGAGAGAGAGAGCGCCTTGCCAACCCCGTGTCTAATTCAGAGACTATCTCAGCAGTGATCCAGTTTTCATCACAGTAGTGAAGGGACCTAGAAAAGCAGTTCTTTTCATATGAATGCAAGAAGTGCGTTAAGCCTGAGCCTATGATAAGGATGATAGGTCAGGAGGCCTGAGGACAGCTCAGCAAAGTGCACAGGCATCAGGACCTGAGTCAGACCCCAGCACCCATGGAAAGCCAGGTGAGACAGGGTTTCTCTGTGCAGCCCTAGCTGCCCTGGAACTCACTCTGTAGACCAGGCTAGCCTCGAACTCACAGGGATTGACCTGCCTCTGCCTCCCAAGGGCTGGGATTAAAGGTGTGCGCCGCCGCCGCCGCCGCCGCCGCCGCCGCCGCCGCCGCCACCACCACCCTGGCTGGAGCTTTTTAGCAAGCAGTGTAGCTGAATCAGCAAACCCCAAGTTCATTGAGAGGCCCTGCCTTGGAGGTGAATAGCAATCAGATACCCAGTGTCCACCTAGCCTACTACACACATGTGCGCGCAGCGCACCCATTCACACCAGACCACACACACATGCACACACAAAGGATAGTGAGCCCATGCAATGATGAAGCCTCTGTCTCATTCCCATCTTCCTCCCCGTCCGTGGACCTCTGCTCTGTTCACCCACTCCTTCAGTGCTGGACACCAGATGACAATTCCACCCAGCAAAACAAGTTACCTGTTCTGTGTCACAATCAGATACCACTAACAAACCCCAGGTCGTGGCCTGGCTAATCAGGGAGTCTATAACAACTTCTCTAGATTTGCTCATTTCTTTTGTTGTTGGTGGTGGTTTGTTTTTTCGAGACAGGGTTTCTCTGTGTAGTTTTGGAGCCTGTCCCGGAACTCGATCTGTAGACCAGGCTGGCCTTGAACTCACAAAGATCCACGGATGTCTCTGCCTTCCCAGTGCTGGGATCAAAAGCATGAGCCACCACCGCCTGTCTCTTATTTTTTTTTTTTTAAGGTTTAATTTTATTTTATGTTCATGGGTGTTTTGTCTGCATTAAGGGTGTCAGATCTCCTGGAACTGAAGTTACAGACAGTTGTGAGCTGCCATGTGGGTGCTGGGAATTGAACTCAGGACCTCTGGAAGAGCAGCCATTGTTCTTAACCACTGAGCTATCCCAAGGTTTGGTAACTTCTAAGGGACATTCTACTTACCTTCCCCTGCTTATTATAAAAGGATATTACATTGCCAGGTCTGGTGGTGCATGCCTGTAATCCTAACAGTCCAAAGCCTGAGGCTTCAAGTTCAAAGCCAGCTAATAGGTTCATAGTGAGACTGTCTAAACAAGCACAAGTATATTTCAGGGGACTAGAGGGTTCAGTTCCCAGCACCCATGTCCAATCTGTGACTCAGGCTCCTGGGGATCCTATGCTCTTGTCTGGCCTCCACAGGACCTGCACACATGCATCCATTCCTATGTAGAGACACACACATTCATATAATTAAAAAAATTTTAAACATATCACAAAAGATACAGATGAATAATTTAATGGAAGGGACACACGGGGCCAAGTGTGTGGCAGACACTGTAGTTTCCATGTGCTCTGATGTGCTAGCCTCCAGCTATCTGAACAAGGTTTTGTGTCCCCACCCCCCTTTGCTTTTTGTTTTTGAGACAGGGTTTCTCTCTGTAGCCTTGGCTGTCCTGGATCTCGCTCTGTAGACCAGGCTGGCCTCGAACACACAGAGATCCACCTGCCTCTGGCTCCAGAGTGCTTGAATTAAAGGATGAAAGGTGCCACACTACCTATTGAATTTTTTTTTAACATTAAACCAGTCAGCCACTCTTGGAATAAATCCCACGGGGTTGGGGATTTAGCTCAGTGGTGGAGTGTTTGCCTAGCAAGCACAAGGCCCTGGGTTCGGTCCTCAGCTCCAAGGGACACCTAAGGAGATAAGCACTTGAATAAATCTAAGTCATACTGTTGATACTTAAAAAAAAAAAAAAAGGAAGAAATCCCACTTCTATCATGTCATATAACTTTTTGTGTATGCACTGTTAGACTCCATTTGTTAACTGAGTATGTGGTGCTGGGAGTTTGATTGGTTTCTATAGACGAGTCTGTCCTTGAATCCATGGTTCTCTTACCTCTCACCCTCTCAAGTGCTGTGGTCACCAACAGGTATTGCTATGCACATAGTTCAAATCTTACACATTCTTGCCAGTGCTTTATTACCAAGTTATGGCTCTTTTATTTTGCCAAATTTTGTCATGGATTTCTACATCTATGTTCATGACAGATACTGTTCAGTGGAGTTTTTTAAATAGTGTCTTTATTTGGTTTTGGTATGAGGCCAATGCTGATGGAACAGATGAGTAGGAGAGTGGTCCCCTGGCTTCTAACTTCAGGAAGAGACTTCAGGGAATTGGTATCCTTTGCCCTAAATGTTTTCATTAAGGTCACAAATAAACTCATCAGGCCAGGTACTTTATGAACTGGAAGACTACTGATGGCCATTGTCGGTGCCCTGGTGTCTCCCACCCCAATTCATATAGGGAAATGTCTTTTTTCCTGAAAATTTCTTATTCTGAAAAATGAATTTTAATTTAGCAAATTATACTGCAGAAGTGTCAGACAGAATTTTCACAGCCTCACTCTATTTCCTAAATACTTAATAAGCTGACTTACAAATCTACAGTTAATTAAAAAATTATCTTTAGCCGGGCATGGTGGCATACACCTTTAATGCCAGCACTGGGGAGACTGAGAAACCAAGAGGAAGAGCTGTGGAGAGACCCTGTCTCTAAAAATAAATAATTAATTTTAAAAAATAATCTTTAGCCAGGCGACAGTGGTGCACACACCTTTAATCCCAGCACTTGGGAGGCAGAGCCAGGCGGATCTCTGTGAGTTCGAGGCCAACCTGGTCTAGAGAACGAGATCCAGGACAGGCACCAAAACTACACAGAGAAACACATACACACACACACATACACACACACACACACACACACACACACACACATATACATATATATACATATATATACATATATATATATGAAAAAAGTTTCTTCACCTACACCCCCACTTTGAGGTAGAAATTTCACTATTTACCATAACATAATGTAAAATTTAAACATCTCCATACTTTTATCTTCTTGGAGATCTCTGGAGGAGTACAATGGTAAATTACTAACAAATTAGTTTCCCCCAATGGTCATATTGCTGTGGCTTTGGGAGTTGTTTGTTCCAGTGCTTTGGCTCCTGATGCGTACCAGGACAGGAGATGGTCACCAGAAAGCCTGCACTATGACATCTTCTTCTGAGCTCCAAGAACAAAAGCCTTTAATCTCAGCACTTGGGAGGCAGAGGCAA